AAAAACTTGTGTCGTTAAAGTTTCGTCGGAACGAAGTTACGGAAAGTTAATTAACAAACGGAGACGTAACAATATCCTTCAAGGTTTGCTGATAGTCATTAATGCCAGATGCATATAGATATATCCCTTTCCTGTAGACTCTGTAATCTTATGTTTTATTACTTTCGTATTTTCGAGGCAATTAGGTGGTTGTGAAATTTAAACTTACTTAAGAACAGTATTTGTTTGCTATATTATTTAAAACAAACATTGCTATTTACAATCTTTTAATGGTTGTTTTAGAAAATGCACGAAAGTTTGTTTCCCCAGTATGATAACTTTTCTGTTATATTTTTTGAAATTAGTAATTAAAAATATTTTTTTCTCATAGTGGATATGCCAGCCTAATTAGTATATTAGAGCAATGTTATTATCTTCTTTTATTACGCGCGTTTTTGTGAGAAAATAACAAAAAGGAAAACCATTACTCAGGCGATTTACCTCTACATTTAGAAGTATTCTGCATAATAGTTTCTCTCGCCGTCGCTAGATGGCAGAACATAATGTTTGTTTTTTTGTTTTAACAACGACAGTTTGGGACTTTTCACTTCATAACAATGATCTCTGGCAAACCAATTTCGCTAAAAATAAGTAAATAAATAAAGAATTAACTCATTTAATATTCAATGTATCAAGCACTCGAAGTATTTTTGCAAGTGAAAGATCTGTGTACATATTATTGATGTCTCAGTTTAATAACACCAGTTTCTTAATCATCAAAACAATACATTATATAACGGTCTTCTTTCTTTCAAATCTTCAGTGGGGCCGAGCCTGGACCTGTATGTGTGGTACTATACTTGAACCAGCCTTTCCTTCAGGTTGTCTACCATCTGGATCAACAGATGACTTGGTTTCTTTAATTCGTAAGAATCCACTTCTTGTTGACTTTCTGTCCTCTTGGAGACCCATATCTCTCCTCAATGTGGATTACAATATTATTTCTAAGGTGTTATGTCTGTTTATGGGTCCTGTTATGTCCCAACTTGTTCTCTGCGCCCAAACATGTGGTGTTCAACGTGGGAGCATTCAACAAAACCTTGTACTAATGCGTGATTTAATTTCTTATATCTATTATAAAAATATTCTAGCTATTTTTATTTCTTTGGATCAAAGTAAGGCACTTGACCATGTTCATTATGATTTTTTTTGTTTTATTTTGTGGAGATCTGGGTTTCCACCCGTTTTCCTTAATTATTTTCAGTCCTTGTATACCTCAGCTTCCAGGAAGTTGTTAGTGAATGGGTTTTTGACACCCTCTTTCCATGATCTTCAAGGTGTGCCCATTGTCTCCTCTTTTGTATAACTTAACACTCGAGTGTTTGTTGTCATACATTCATCATTCTTTCTGTTAAGTATATATATCATGCTGATGATCTAAAGCTTTTGTTGTCTGATCAATCCTCTCTAGGTACAACTCTTGTTGTGGTTGATAAATATTCTCAGGCTAGTGGAGCACTGCTGAATCTGGAATAGACTCTGGCAAGGTGGTTGGGAAAATGGGCTTCTTCTTCTGACAAATCTTTTGGTTTGTCAAGGACGAACTCTGGTTTTAGGCACTTTGGATTTCAGTTCCTTTCAGCACTTATTGTTATTTCGGAGGAGATCATTGTTCGTATTCATTCTGTTGTTCAAGATTTTCGTTTTAGTCTGGCTAACATTTTCCTTTGGTCACATATTATTCGTCAGCGGATCTTGTCTCATGTAGTATGTAGGTGCTGTTTTCCCTTTGGGGGATGTTAGTGCTCGGGTTATTGATGGCATTGTCTTTTTTGTGGGGAGGGAAAACGGAAATGATTTCCCGACTTTCTTTACATTTACCAACTCGTCATGGGGTCTGTATTCGGACTAAGTACCTCATATTATTAATTGCTTTAATAGTGAAATGTTTATCCATGGAGAACCATCCCTGTTCTTTCTTATCTCTTTATTTGTTACGGGTGGGACTCGGGGTTTTTGGTTATCCTCTTTCTTTGTTATCTCTCCTGTGTTCGGATCCTCCTTCCTGGTTATTCTCAGTGTGTCACAGTTATTCGACGTTGTCAGAGGAGGTTCATGATTTTGATGTTTATGCTCCATCTAGTTCATTCTACCATATTCTAGCTCCACAACATCTTCATTGCATTGAACAGCATTACCCCCATCTACTTTGGGATTCTATTTGGGCTTGAGTCACATTGTGTCTGTGTAGCTGCATATACAGGTCTTCTGTTGGCACATTGTTCTACCAGTTCGAGAGCATCTTTACCTTTGGCATATCAGTACCACCAAGTCTCGCCCAGTTTGTCATGCCAGGGTTGAGTCTGTGATGAATCTTCTGGTGTTGTGTCCTCTCTCTGTCCAGGCATGGAGATTCTTGTCACGTTTATTCCACATTCCTTTTATTTCACTTAATACTGTATTAGACCATGTTCCCTTGGTTTTTCATTTCAGTATTCTTTAATTCTGCTCAAACATGTTATATGGTTGATGAAGAACAGATGTTTATGAGAAGTTCCAGGACACTTTCAGTACTATCGTGCATCATGTCAGGTCTCGTCTTCTGATGTGTTTGGAAGCAGATTGTCAGCTTTTGGATCCTTCTTTCTTTTTTCGTCATTGGCGCCACTCTTCACAGTAATCAATGGCCATATTCACTGATATTTTGATGCTTACTGTTTTTGTTTTTCACAAAGAAAATTTCCCACTCTTTTTTGTACATTTTCTCTAGCATTGTATTGTTTACTTTCTGCATACAGATAGTTCATTCATTTGTCAATTCTTTGTCATTGATTGCAACTTCCTGTTACACTTGTGATTATGTATTTACTGTACTTCATAATGACTGTACTGTATTGATATGTACTTGTTACCTCATCATGTAAGATTTTAGTTTTTGTGATTTCTGAGTTTATTTCTTTGATTTGTTAAAGTGTATTATTTGGTTCTAATTGTATAAATTTTGTTCTCCAATGCTACCTTTTTATTTTCTGTATTTGTTTATGTTGTCAATAAAATTTCAAAATTGTATCATACTTCAAAATATGGAATCCGTATGATGTCCTCCCCATTAATTGCCCTGACCCTGACATGTGACCATCAATTGTATGCACATACAGTAATCCAGGATGGAGTTAGAGAGCGTGGGTTCTGGAAATGACCCCTTAACGTCGTTCTAGCGCTCTGTGGTACTTGTACCATCCTGGAGGAACCATTCCAGTATCGTTGGCCTCCCAATCAATCCAAAATTAGATAATATTTAATTACAAGGGCCTATTACAAGTGTGGAAAAATACTTGCAAGTTTGGTTATAATAGAAGTTTCCCTTAAATCTTCTGGTTCATTCCTCCTTTGTCTGATGTTCACATACGAATTATTTCTATATACATCCACACAACCTGCCATGTGGTTCACTTGATATTTGGTGTAAAGAATATTCAGTTTGGTGGTGTTTCTATAGTCCGGTTTTGTGTAGCTTTTATCTAGTCTAAACAACCTACCATGTGGTGGAGTTCATATATGGTGTAAAAAATCTTGTTTGGTGGAGCTGCTGTAGTCTAAACAACTTGTCATGTATGTGGTAGATCTCAACTACACCACATGGCAAGTTGTTTAGACTGTATAAACTCCACCAAACTGAAGATTATTTACATTAGATATCAACTCCACTACATGGCAGGTTGTTTAGACTAGATAACAGATCCACGAAACTCAAGGTTCTTTGAACAAAATATCAACCCTGGTGTAAAAAAGTTTCATTTTGGTGGAGTTGTTATAGTTGATTTCCAGTGTAGAAAATCTTTAGTTTGGTGGAGCTGCTACAGTGTAAACAAGATGTCATGTTCGGGAGTTGATATCTGGTGTAAAGAACCTTCAATTTTGTGAAGCTATTACCTGGTCTAAACAACCTACCATGTGGTGGAGTTGATATCTGGAGTAAAGAATATTCAGTTTGGTGGAGTTTCTATAGTCTAAACAACCTGTTATGTGGTACAGTTGATATCTTGTGTAAAGAACCTTCAGTTTGGTGGAGTTTCTACAGTCTTAACAATCTGCCATGTGGTGTAGTTATAATCTGGTGTAAATAATCTTCAGTTAGGTGGAATTGTTATCTAGTCTAAATAACCTGCCATGTGGTGGAGGTGATATCTGGTGTAAAGAAGTTTCACTTTAGTGGAGTTGCTATAGTTTACACACAACCTGCCATGTAGTGGAGTTGATATGTGATGTAAAGATTGTTTGGTTTGGTTGAGTTGCTACCTGGTGTAAACAGCATGAAGTCTGGTAGAGTTGCTGTCTGGTCTGAAAAACCTGCAGTGTGGTAGAGTTGTTGTTTGGTGCAATTTATGTCTTGTATCAATGCATGCAATTTGGTGGTTGAATGGTTTCATTGCCCTCAATTTGGTAGTTTTATGAAGCTGATTTTACTTTCTTTATTTACTAACTACATGTTTTTCATTCATCAACACTTTCTACAACCTTACACATCAAGAATCACAATATTGACACTTATCTAGTCTTATATGTGATTACAGCATGATATAGTTTCGAATTTACTTTAAAAATTATTATATGCTTTAGAGAGTTGTTTTAATATTCCACCATTTTCTATTCACTACTATCGTGTCTTCTTCTTTTACTTCTTGGCTGTTCTTTCATACATCTTGAATCCAGGTGTGGAGTAGAGTGTTCTCCACTATCATCAGCATCTCTCCTGTATTGTTTCTTTTTACGTTTTTTGTGCTTTTTCTTTTTTTTCTTGCTGTTTTTTTCTTTCCTATAAGAAAATAAAGAATAAATATTTATTTTTTTCACATCATCAGGGCTGATCCCTTCTTTGTATATAAATTTCATACTTGTTTTTACAAAATAGAATAATCTTAGGGAGGATAACAATCAACTCAAGTTCAAGCTGAAACTAAATACTCTAAGAAGAAATAAAGTTAATCATGTTGATTTATATTCCAAGAGAATTCCAGGTTTATTAGTATCAGAAACATTTCTGTACATTTTCATGAAAAAATTACATGGGGTGTTTCTATGGTAATTACATTAAACAATGGAGCATAAACAATACAGTCCAGAAAAACATAGCAAGGTTAAATAGGTGATCATGACAAAACTGAGAGGAGCTATGTTACATCCAAATAGTACAGAAAGAAAGTTTATTTACTTTTCGCTTGTTCTCAAATCTCCGATAGCTTTGTCTGCTTTCTTCTTTGTCTCATCAGAAGTTAAGGGTACTTCAGCAATCACAGTTTTTCTCTCTTCTCTTCCAGCATTACTAACTGTCATCAGTCTTACACTAAGACAATAGAACACAGAGAAACATCATTATTAACTGTATCAATCTTTTACTACAACAGTAGAAGACAGAGAAACATCATTATTAACTTTATCAATGTTCCACTACAATAGTAGAAAACAGAGTAACATTATTATTAACTGTATCAATCTTACATTAAGGTAGTACAAGACAGAGAAACATCACTGATAACTATTAATTTTGCATTAAAATAGTAGAAGACAGAGAAACATCATTAATAACTGTACTAATGTTCCACTACAATTGTAGAAGACAGAGAAACATCATTAATAACTGTACTAATGTTCCACTACAATTGTAGAAGACAGAGAAACATCGTTAAT